ATTGAGCACCTTCGCCCAACAGCTGATGCTCAGCAATAAAAGTACTGAAGTTGTTCTTTAACCACTCGGGCAGCTCCTGCCAATGACCTACTTGCTCTACCCGTTCCGTTTGCTCTACCCGTTCCACTTGCTCTACCCGTTCCACTTGCTCTACCCGTTCCTCGTCGTGTTCCGACATCAAACAGTTGTGACGTATATATGTGTGCAAAATATCTGCAAGCTTTGTCACATTCGAGGGGTACGAACGCAGGACGTGGCTGTGTATCCTCCTGAAGATAAGCCGACCGTTGCAAAATCGTGTCTCAGGAAAGAGTTCATGGAACCACTTTGACGTGGGCGCATGGCCTCCGGCACTTTTAGGACTTGTCCAACAGACATCCTTATGCTCATCCTTCTTCAAACAAGACCTGCAGTATCCTGTCATGTATACACTGCCACGTTTCACCAGCTCATTCAAGTCTAACACACGGTCGTCGCACGCTCGCTCTTCTGCAGTGCCAGCAATCATATCAGCTAAACCATTTTCTCTTGCCAATCTCAACAAGCCCCTAAAGCCTCTAACTTGCACTATTACCACATCTTTCCACACTTGGCCAAATTCGCTAATGTATGTTCGTAGCATATATATATAACCCACGGGCGGGGAAATAGCCTTACCATTGGTAAATGGCACCGAAAACCCACAGGCTTCAATTTCTTCCCATTTTGCATTTTACAAGCAGACAGTATCCAATCAGATGGTATCCAACCAGATGATGTCTGAAGCAGATCGCGACTAGGACACGACCAAGAAAGCGGCAAACGAAAAATCTATTCCCTCAGCGCGAAAGGACGAGAACGCAGCTGGTGGCGATGCAGACGCTATATCTGGTTGCGATGCAGATGCTATATCTGGTGGCGATGCAGATGCTATATCTGGTGGCGATGCAGATGCTCTATCTGGTGGCGATGCAGATGCTCTATCTGGCCGCATCCGGTCTTTGCAGGTTAAGCCAGACCATTTGGGTGGTGG